GCCTTGGTTTGTTGTGGGTTTGTTGTGATAATGTTTTGGATTAGGACTCATATAGTTAACGTGGTGTGTATATTTAATAATTTTGCTACATCAACTTATTCTTCAATATGCAAAGAACTAGCATAACTTTTGCCAACATGAAGCATGTTTCACTACTCCAATTCATTAATTTGGGTTATTTTGCAGGTTTATATATCCATATATTATGATACTTGATGCAAATATGGATGGACATGATACTTGATAGCAACTACATTGCACGCTATGTATTGGTATGGCTATTTTGTATTTTTCATTTTAGGTAATGATGATGAGAATGCAATCTACAATGTCTTTGTGATGTTTAGGTAGGGCAATCTAGGATGAGAATGTAACCTACATTATATTTACAATGTTAGGTGAGGCAATCCATTCATATGATTGCAATCTACATTGCAATTTTATTATTAGATGAGGCAATCCATGTTTTTAATTTTTATACCTATATCTGAACCCTTACCTTGGTTATATATAATTACAATGATTGGATTTGAGTCATTTTTGGTTGCTTTTGGGATGATAAAACAGTTTTGGATAAATTATTGCTTGAATTTTTGTTTGCCTATACTTTGAGCAGCCTTGGTTATTTGAGCTGCTTGCTTGTGGGCTTGCTTGTGGGTTTGCTTGTAGCCTTGGTTTGTTGTGAGTTTGTTGTGAGTTTGCTTGTGGACTTCCTTTCAGCCTTGGTTTGTTGTGGGAAATAAAAGAACCATCTACTTTGCTATTGTAGACAGAAAATTCCGTCTAGGATGTTTTATCGAACCATCTACTTTGCTATTGTAGACAGAAAATTCCGTCTAGGATGTTTTATCCTAGGCGGAATATTATAGACAAAAATTTCCGTCTAGTTTAATAGCAAACTAGACGGAAATTTTTTTATCTAGAATATTCCGTCTAGGATACGTGATTTTCTACTAGTGCAACTAACGCACTCTGAGTGTAGTCAACCACGATCTCGTTGCGGTGCACCAACTAACTCCACTCAAGTATCCAAAACTACCGTAAAACAAAACATACGTCACTCTCTATCATGACTAACTCAAAATATCAGAGTGCGTGTATCAATAGGCTCATGCATGCTCAAATCTAGCATGTGTCCTCTCACAGTGTGATCCTCTCATAGTCTCACACATGTGTCGACGTGCGACTTGCACTTTGTGTTCACGATCAAAAGCACGCGGGAAAGATCAACATTACAAACAACACTAGATCAGTCGACCGATATACCTCATCGGTCGACCGAGCGTGACGTGCTCAACACATGCACAAAACTAGCCTTGATCGGTCGACCGATGCATATGTTCGGTTGACCGACCATAGGAAAATCTCAGTTTCCTGAGAGCAAATCGGTCGACTGATTACTTTGATCAGTTAACCGACCAGAGGGAATTTTTTAGTTTCCTGAGAACGTTTGATTCTCTCAAAAAAATTCATCAAAATCAAATATTTTCAAAGAACTCATATATAAAACCTCGATTTAGTGCAATTAGTATTTATTCTAAAAGATGAAAACACCAATATAAAGATTTGAGGGATTCTAATAACCCTAACATGTTTATGTTTGAAAATTCATCATGAAAGCAAAATAGATTAACAAAACCTCATGTTAGATTTACTTCAAACCTTCAACCCATTTTAAAGAAATCTGTATCATAACTTTTTTAAATCAGAAAGATTAAATCTTTACACTATACAGATAAATGGAGTGATCTTTACACATAAAATAGGTTTTTAAATCCAATAAAAACCAAGAAAATGGGGATGAGATTTGGAGGAGACGAAACTCACCTCAAAAATCCGGGCAGAACTCCCACACACGCAAGGAACTTGATCCTCCCTCATCGAAGCCTCTATATATATGTGTGATCAAATAGGCCTAAACCGATCCGACCCAAAACCCAAATTCTATGCATCTATCGGTTCGACCGATCCTAAGGATCAGTCGACCGACCAAAGGTGATTTCAGTCGACAGTTTTTCATGCACATATATATATTTATATGTACTTAAATCGATCGCAAATCAATTATAATCATGTTCATTCATCCCAGAACAATATCAACCATAATTAACTCATTTAATATTATTTTCTATAATATTTTCAAATTCACGGGGTTTTACATATGGAAGTTAAAAGGAATGTATGGTGGCATCAGTCACGTCAAATCTGAAATGACTTTTCATTTTCTCATCAAGTACGCTCCCACGTCCATCCAAAACAAATTTGATTTCACTCGGACCGGGCTCAAGCCGACTCCAAGCAAAAGAGGACAACTGTTATGGTGTTCTCATTCGCCAAAGTATAACTCATTGCCAAGTAACGGATAAGTGTGCTTATGCATGCAATGCCCCAATCAAGTTGGCGGCCAGAGCCTAGCGAGGATCCCGACCGAACCGACTCATCGAGTCGACATTCCTTAATATCGACTCGAAATGCGGTATCAGTCAACCCTCTTGTTGAAGACGACTCGCTATAAGCCTACTCGACCAGATACTTGTCGCCTCGTGAGGACGACTCGAAAGACATTACTTCTTGGCGAAGCTATAGGACAACTTCTGTCTCGAGCCTTTCCCGCTAGCAACGTGTCAACATCGTATTTAATGCATGTCAGGCGTATCATGGCTCTGGCTCCGATAGCCTTCATGACTCATCGGACCACGTGGGCATCGGCATGCTGCCAATCACTTCTCGTTTAATGTTGAAGTGATCCTTTCTCCACTCACCTGTAAAGTAGATGCTGACTCAGCTGCCAGCCCACACTTCGCTACTGCCATCCTGTGCTCGGCTGAAGTGACCAATCTACCCTTATACCCTCGATATAAATGTAGGTACTATTCAAACATATCAGGGATTGTATATTGGATCTGAAAGGCTGGATCTTTGGATCTTTTTTTTGATCTAATCTTTAAGCAGAGACACTGTACACATACAAGAACTCACACAGTTCTTCATTTTCCCCCACTCAAGTTCATTAGCTGACTTGACTGTCGGAGGAACCACGGGGGATCCAAGCCCCGTTCTCTCATGAATTTCTACATGTGCAGGTTGTTCAGCAACCCAATTCAAGAATTGGACATGAAGTCGGGGAAGAAAGGGGCCCCTCATCAATACTGAACAACCTCATCCAACACCGGATACAACTGACTGTACGTGTGATCACTTAAACCCAAATCAAGAATTGGACATAAAGTCGGGGAAGAAAGAAGCCACTCATCAATACTGAACAACCACATCCAACACCGGATACAACTGACTGTGTGATCACTTAAACATCAACAACTTCAAATCGTTAAAATTGCTATGAGGGCCCCCAGTTTTGGTAACTTTGCGCTACTCTTGAGCATAGTAAATAATCTGAAACTAACTAAGAACTGAAAGACCAAATAGCAATTTTAGTGATTGGGGGACTTATATTAAAATATTTTATAAGAATTGGAAACCTGATAGCAATTTCAATTATCTGATAGACTAAATTCTAAAATTAAAGATGTGTTCAAAATCAAAAGGAGACGTCGTAAACAAGATGTAAGCTCGATCATCTTAATTTCTCACTTTATCTTTTGTTCCTATTTTGGGTATTGGACAACAAAGTATGCTTGATTTAGGCTCATAGTTAGTTTGATCACAATTTTTTTGGGTTAATTACACATAGAACCCTTATACTTTTATGCTTAATTTGGATCGAACTTATTATCCCTCAGTATACGTAGTTTGATTTTGGAGATAGCCCCGAGTAGAATAATTTTGAAACCTTTTGCCCTGGGTAAGATTTTGCCACTTATTACTCAAATGTACTGTTGTTACATGGGCAATCAAACAGTTTCGATCCCTATATTCTCTCAATGCAAATATGATGTTTTTTCTTCACTTTTTTTTTAAATATATGATGTTTTTTTCTTTACTCTCTTTACAGACAACCGGCAGTTAAGTAAATTGTCGGTTGCTTGAATCTGAATGTGCAAATGTTAGTTCTATGCAAATGATGAAACTTATCTATTATCTGCAATAATTGGATATAATAATGTAGGATATAATTTGGTAGTTGATCGATGATCTATTGCATGTACTGTTGTTATTAGCTTCCATGTGTTATTAATAATGCACATCTATTATAAAACTTTATGCACGTGCTGTTGGGACGGAACCTTTCATAGCCTGGTATATCCTGAATACAAGATCCTGATTAATCTACCAAACATATGAAAGTTATCATTAAAAATAGTTCATATCTCATTGGAATATGTAATTTACTCTTATTGACTCGAGAAATGAGGTTCAGTTTGATAATAATACTTAAAGTTAACCTCGTGATGTTAAATTGGCTCTTTTGAAATTCTTGAGTTTGCATCGTATTTAAAAAAAAAAAAACAGAATGAAAGAAGGAACAAGTAACCAATTTGAAGAGTATGTTAGACCTGGGCTAGTTTAATTTGTCACCATGTATTTTCTTTTATTTTGGAACCTCGGAGATTTTTGGACATGTTTTAGGTTTTTTCTTACAGGATAGTATCCTACTTTTTCACATGTTTGAAAATTTTTATCAGTATTATTCCTACTGTCAATAAATAAAATTGACTAGTCCGGCCAGCGACCTACAAGAATTGACTTTCACAATTTTCTCATTCCATCCAGCACAATGAACAAAGAATAGTACTATCAGGAAATGCTTAAATACTCTGCAAAATTAATTCGAAAATCATTTGTCCATTTCAAATTAAGAGAATGAGAAAGTGATTACATCTTAATTATGCCTTTTTCATCAGATTGAAGATCAAATGTCACAAAAGAATAAGAAGATTGGAGAAGGAAGAGGATGAATAATTCTTCTTTAGGTGCAAAAAAGTACACCTAAATCTATTCTTACTTTTCAATTTGTGGGGTTGATGATATCTGTACCATTATTATTTCTTAGGGGGAATGAGAGGAGTTTCAGGATTGTTCATAATCTCCAATTATGTAAATGACAAAGAGAAAACGATTCAAAATATAAAAGAGCAAGAATAAGTTACATTAGCATGAATGCTAGGAACAAAGTAATACAAGTAGCATCACAAACCCACGAACTGAAACCAAACTAAACAAAATGATAATTACTGAGACAGCAATAGCATGAAAAGATCATATACAGAAAAAATAAGCTGAACCCATCAAACATCAACAGTTTCACAAAGGCAGCGACACAGCAGTTACATCAACAGAGAAGACCCTGAAACACAAAAAAAAACCATCAGTGGCTAAAATTGTAGATGGCGATTAAATAGCAGAAAATTATTCAAAAGAAGAAAAAAAAAGGTTGTACCTGCAGCATAGGAAACTTATTTGGTGATGGCGTAAACAGCGTAGATGATTCCCGGGATGTACCCAAAGAGGGTCAGCACTAAGCATATCCAAAACTCGACCTGTAAACAAATTCAGACTTACAACATCTCGTCGCGCGCGCATTTAACAAAATTAAATTCAAAAGATTAGAAGGAAAAAAAAAAAAAAAACTCACCCCGCATCCGAACTTGAGAAATACTCCAAGAGGAGGAAGAATGATGGCCAAGATGATGTCGATGCAGTTGGCTGTTCCTTCATCGGCCATGATTAATTTTGAAGAAGAGCTTGGAGTTCTGAGCGATGAGAAATTCCAAGGGCTTTAACTTCAAGCCGTAGCGTGTAGGTGATGAAATGAGGGGCGGTTGGCCGTTACATTTATAGCCCAATCATCATCACATGCTGAGAACGTGATCAAGATATAGATGCAGTCATACAGATGTACATTCGATTTGATTACTTAACCGCGTTTGGTTAGCTGTTGAGTCTCAAAAGCTCAAGCTTTGCCCACAGACCCACGTTCTCCTTTTAATTATTGAATCGAATCACTTCCACGCACATTCTTTTTTTTTTTTTTTTTTTTTTTCTTTTTCTTGTTTCATTGATATAGATGGGAAAATGTACTGTAAAGACCTAGCAACATGTGAGTTTATGATAATATAGAAACACGCATATTTTGCATCTAAACTGGACAAATGAAGTCCCACGAACTTTATGCTTTGGCTGCATACGGGACGGCACGCTACCCATGCATGCCGCCGCTCTCCACGGCTGAAAACTCGGGCGAAAGGGTGACGTTGACCTTCGATGTTCTGCGTGAGCTAGGGTTAAACATTCTGCATAATAATTGAGCTCGCTCTCTTTGGTGGGTAGATGAAAAGTCAACACCAAGCAGCTGCGGTGCGTCCCCTCACCCAGCTCGAATCCAGCTGCAGGTTGCGTATTATTAATCAGGGCTAGCTGTTTGGTTAGTATCTCATGTGGGTGTGCGCTTTGTGTTTTTTTGTGGTTGGCGTGTTATGAGGTGGGGGTGGGGGTGGGGTTCTACACAGGATCCGGGAGGGGGTGGAGGAAATCAACACGAGGTCTTCACTTCAAAGCCCCATCATATGAAACTTATCATCATATACGTATATGCTTAGCAAACACGGATACGAATACAATTAGGGATATATCTGCAAATATACATGTGGATACAAAATGGACATGAGAAATTAAACCATTAATATTGAAAAGAATATAGTTCAAATGATACAAGAGAGTACATTAATATGCTTGTTACATCTGGAAGGCTAAACTTTGATCTACTGATCACCAAAATCAACCTCAAATTCATTAATTAAAGATTTAAGACAATTGAAATTATATGACACTTATACTATCTCAAATGTATTTATCGAGATTTCAATCCAGATATGTCCCAACATCAAGTATGCAACATATTTGTTGGCATCCCTATTTTATTACCCTTGCTCTTGCGACCGGTTAACCCTAAATGTTCCCCCAACAAATAAATATGAATTCTCATCACTCCCCAATCTCAGCGAGAACACTAACACCCTAAAGCCCTCCACTCATTGCCTCATGAAAACCCCCTCCCCGATACCCCTCCCCTGCCCCTCCCCTCACAACTCAAACCTCTCAAACCCACACCACCCACAAGACCCCATCTCAACCCTCACTCCCTATTCACACTCACCCAAACCCACCGCCCTTTTCGAGCCGTCCCTCGTCGCCCCCTCCTACCTTTCTTCCATCCCCCAACCCATTCAACCTTTCTCCTTCCGCCCTCTCCGCCGCCGCCTCCACCTCCCTTCCCATCCACGGCCTCCAGCTCCATGCCCTCCTCCCCAAGCATGGCGTCCTCGCCGACGTCTTCATCTCCACCGCACTAACCGACGCGTACGCCAAGTGCGAGGACATGGCCTCCGCCGAGAAGGTGTTCGACGAAATGCCTGTCAGAAACTTGGTCTCTTGGAATTCCCTCGTCGCCGGCTTCGTCCGCAATAGAATCTATGGTAAGGCGATCATGACATTCCGAGGGCTGTTGTTGGACGGCGAAGTTGGGCTTGATCAGGTGTCGCTGTCTAGCGTGTTGAGCGCCTGCGCGAATTCGGGTGAGCTGGGGTTCGGGCGACAGGTGCACGCGCGCGGGGTTAAGGCTGGGGCGGACGGTCTGGCGTATGTTGAGAATGCGCTCATTGACATGTATTTGAAGTGTCGGTGCACGGAAGAAGCTAGGGTTTTGTTTGAGAGCATGGAGGAGAGAGACGTCGTGAGTTGGAACATAGTGATGATGGGGTCGGTGCAGAACGAGCACTATGAGGAGGTATGCAAGTGCTTCAGCGCGATGCGAAGAGATGGGATTAGGGCAGACATCGCTTCGTTTTCTACTGTGTTGCAAGCCCTTTGGTGTATCGCGTCGTGGGGCCAAGGAGCAACGATTCATGCCCAAATCGTAAAAGCTGGTTATGCGATGCATTGCAGTATAGGGAGCCCTTTGATCACAATGTACGCAAAGTGTGGAAGCTTGGCTGATGCGTATCGATATTTTGAAGAGATCAACAATAATCTCAGCGTAGTATCATGGACAGCTATGATCGCAGCGTATCAGCAGCATGGACACGGAGATCGAGCAACTGAGCTGTTCAATGAGATGTTAGAAAAGGGAATCGAGCCAGATTACATCACGTTTATTTGTGTGCTGTCAGCTTGCAGCCACAAGGGGCTCATAGACCAGGGCTTCAGATATTTCGATTCCATGTCGAAGATATATAATATAGTGGCAGGACATGAACATTACGCTTGCATTGTTGACATGCTCGGTAGAGCAGGTAAGCTGGAGGAAGCGAAGAAATTTGTTGACAATATGCCAATAAAGCCTGATGCGTCGGTGTGGGGAGCTCTTCTTGGAGCTTGCAGCAACCGTGGCGAGTTGGAAATGGGGGAAAAAGTAGCGCAAAAGTTGTTTGAGATAGAGCCTGATAACTCTGGGAACTATGTACTGCTCTCGAATATGTATGCATACCATGGGAAGCTGGAGGAAGCGAAAGAAGTTCGAAGATTGATGGGATGCAAAGGAGTGAGGAAGGAGACAGGGTGCAGCTGGATCGATGTCAAGAACAAGACTTACATTTTCGTGGTACAAGATCGATCACATAGCAGGACGAAGGAGATCTACGCGATGTTGAGGAAGTTGGAGGATTTGGTGAAGGAGAAAGGATATGTTGCCGATACTAGGTTTGCAGTCAATGATGTTGACGGGTATAAGGAGCAGGGATTGTGGTATCATAGCGAGAGGTTGGCGCTTGCATTTGGGCTGATAAGCTTGCCTGCAGATGCACCGATCAGGATCAAGAAAAACTTGAGGACTTGTGTGGATTGTCATGGAGTCATGAAGCTCGTCTCGGGAATCCTTCAGCGCGAGATTGTGATAAGGGATATCAACAGATTTCATCGGTTTGCCCATGGTTCCTGTTCTTGTGGAGATTACTGGTGAAGGATTACTTTATCAAAATTAATTGCAGATAGACCCCCCTGAGTGAAAATCTATTCTTGCAGCTGGACCCCCTGAAAAGGCTCAAATTTCACTTGGGGGGTCTATGTGCAACGGTAGAACTGCAGGGTAGAAAGTTCAATTTCGCGATAATAAGGAGATCTATTTGCAATTAACCTAAAATTTCCAAGGATAGCATGAGTAAGCATCTATGAAGAGTTTTTGCAGCAAAATCAGCTAAAGATGCAGGTATAGGAGTGGGAGGAAAAAGACCTCTGAGATGCTCAAAATGGCGCGGAATGGATATCGTGAAACAAATCCTGCTGTCCTCAGGAGTGATAATAAAGGCAGCAATGTGATAAAACAAACCCAAATTTATTGTAGCATATTGGCTTCTTTGCAAATGGTCATAATGCTATTTTCTGGCAAATGCTCAATTGGGCAGAAAAGGTTTTGTTCATTGTACAATGTTTGCTTCAGAAGTTGACAGAGAATGTAGTTCAAACAGAAACATCATGAGTTTACAAGCTTGCTGTTGATAATTGATCTTTTGCTTCTTTTGCTGAAGTAAAATCCCCTGAGAATTGCCATGTCACAGAATCAGTGGGTCTGGAAGCTATCTTCCTTGTCCTCGAGCTTTTTCTTCATACTGCATAAACAAGAGAAGTAAGCAAAACCATTGTCAAACTTTCAACAATGCAAAGATACTCAGTTTGAATAATTCTCACCGAGCATTTCGTTCTTCTCTTGCATCAAGAGCTTCTGCTTCCTCTTTTGATAGAACATCGACAATGGGTTCATACAGGTGCCACTCTTTTCTCTTGCTGACAAGGTTTTAAATGTCGGTTATCGGGGGTTTATCGGACGGTCAAAATTCTTATCGGATAGCGGAAATCGGGGATATATCGGGGATAAATAGTATTTATCGGAGTAATATATTAGCAAATAATAAACAAACATAAGCTTGAAAAATAATATAATGTTAGTCAAAATGGAATAATAAACTAGCAAATAATAAGATAACATCAAGAATGAAGAACCATCTACGCATCTGCATAATTATTGTTTAATCATGAGATTCATAAACTAACTTACTAAGTTGATATTTAGTAGTTATGAGCCATTATCAATATCCATAAACAAACATAAGCTAATCACCAATCAACCAAGTTCCAAAAGCAACAAATAGTTCATAATTTGTAAACATTCAAAGAGCAAATCCAAAAGAAAGCAAAAGCTCCTAAATCCTACTTATCGGCCGATAAAACCGATATTTAGAGCCTACTTATCGGCTGATAAGTACCTTTATCGTCGATAACTCGCGATAAACCTCAAAAAACGATAACCGAATAAAAATCCTACTTATCCTAGCGGAAAGCTCCCAAATCCGATAACTCGGCGATAATATCGGATTATCGGCCGATATTTAAAACCATGCTGGATATAGTTCTCGTCCTGTATGATCACTCAACTTGTGCTACTAGTACTGCTAGATTATGTAACTGGGTTTTTACTCTTTGATAACAATACAACTTCTGCTACAAGTACCGCTAGATTATGTCCAGTCTCCGCACCAAGTTACTAGATGTATATGGATTACACATTTTAATAGATAACTCATCACATGCAACATCTGCAAGTGATGATGGGGTACCCATCTTCTTTGTGCCTTTTGCAGTTTCCATGAGATATATGGCTGACAATTATCCTTGCGGATTCAGCATTCCTTCAGGTAACATTTTCAGTTACCAGCTACCAATAGTCGGAGTAATATATTAGCAAATAATAAACAAACATAAGCTTGAAAAATAATATAATGTTAGTCAAAATGGAATAATAAACTAGCAAATAATAAGATAACATCAAGAATGAAGAACCATCTACGCATCTGCATAATTATTGTTTAATCATGAGATTCATAAACTAACTTACTAAGTTGATATTTAGTAGTTATGAGCCATTATCAATATCCATAAACAAACATAAGCTAATCACAAATCAACCAAGTTCCAAAAGCAACAAATAGTTCATAATTTGTAAACATTCAAAAAGCAAATCCAAAAGAAAGTACTTATCGGCCGATAAAGTCGATATTTAGAGCCTACTTATCGGCCGGTAAGTACCTTTATCGCCGATAACTCGCCGATAAACCTCAAAAAACGATAACCGATTAAAAATCCTATTTATCCTAGCGGAAAGCTCCCAAATCCGATAACTCGGCGATAATATCGGATTATCGGCCGATATTTAAAACCATGCTTGCTGATACAAAGACCAGTTAACAATAATCATTTTGCTGTTAACCAGGCCATCTCAAGCCTAATGGGACACAATTTTCCATGAATATGACATATTTTAAAGAGGTGCCTAGAAGTTTGTATCAGAAGAAAATGAAGGTGCATGATCATTCTTATGATTTTGGAGATGGTGATGACTGATAATCTGTAGCCTAACTTACTATAGGTAAATGACAACATAAACAAGCACGCTATCACTAGGTGCATCAAATTACATGCAAAATTTAGATGTGCTTGTCAAATTTATGGGACCAACCATGGGACAATATGACGTGTCATTTTCTTGGGATTTGAGCCAAGATCAATGGCAATCATAAACATACATCACCTATCCTATAATTGGTCACATGGTTTTGGGTCAAAAATTCATTTCTTTTCAGTAAACTTAGTTATTACGAGATACGTTCACATTCTCCAAAGAAACAAGAAGGGTGGCCCCACCAATAATCCATATCTTGATAGTTCACTTAGCAAAATGAGTTGCCACCTCATACCCATATATACATGGGTGCGTGTGGGGGGTGAGCAGAGTAACATTATCTCACTTTATTCCTCTTCCCCTTTTTGCCAATTGCCATTAACTAGATGATTACTCACTAAATGCTTAATTTACATGTCCAATCTTAATTCTGTCAGGTGCAAATATGGTTCTTAAAACAAACCAGAGGACTGAGAGTTCTTACCGAATCACACTTCCTTTATTCCCAAACAACCTTGCCAGGTCTATGGCTCCATTACCTGCTTTACTGTAGAAAACATAACATTTAAAAATTTTAATCCTCATTTCAAGCATAGAGAAAGATTAGCTCTGGGCATCAGAAAAATACCTGCTCGAAACACTTTCTACTCCTCGTCTACCTTTTTTGCCAATTCTATATTCTTTTGCTGAAGAAACATTTTGAACAGCAAGCTAGAGTGGAAAAGATTATGATCATTAGAGACTGACAAGTTCTGTATGACCATTAGAATTGCTAGTTGGCCAATCTTTTTTAAATTAACTATTGCGGACGTAAAATAGTAAAATGCATACCTGAAAACATTACACAATCTTAAATTGTATAGATATTCGAAGTGGAAAATGACCCATCAAATTTTGTAGTATTATAATAATGACTTTAAAGCTGCGCACTTCCCTGAACAAAACCAATCACACTCGACATGCACACAAATGTACTAAAATATGCACACATGCATGCAAAAGCACAACAACTTGATTGACAATATATCAGAGTTTTCTTCAATGGGATCACTTGAAGAAGAGTCTGGCACGGTTTTTTCTACTTCCAAAAAATTGTTATTATTCCCCCAAAATGAATATTTTTTTTGGCATCTTAAACAGCTACTAATCAATAGTGGCAGTAATCATATACATATTTTCTTAAAACCACTGTTTGAAGTGATTGAATGTCTAGGGATGCAGAAAGAATCCAACAAAATAGAAGCTCAAAAAAGCACCAAACATATGAATCATTCATTACTTTCTTATAAAGTAAAAAATATAGATGATTGTTTTAAAATAGGCCTAAAAGTAAGTAACAGATGAAGTTTGTCCCAGGCGGTATAGCAATTAGAAAACCAGTTTACAAGATTGAACTCTTTACAGTTATAGTTCGGAAGGCCAAGCATTATCTTCTTTTTTTTTTGCTATCTTAATTGAAAGTGCAATGGAAAGCATGGTATTTAATGAAACGGTTATATTAGAAGTTAAATTATTAGGGCAATGTTTATGATCTTGAGCAGATTCATAGCCTGAGGACAGATCCATCTATGTGAATTCACAGGCTCTATCAGAAGCCAGTGTGAAGCAGCATCTAGCGAGCAAAGAATTGAACAAAGCAGCAGGCAATTGAAAGATTAAAAGATAAATGAAATTTATACTTCAATACAAGAAAGGTGAGCTGAACGAAGCAGTGTCAAGTAAAACATTAAAAGATAAATGAATTTATACTTCAAAATGAGAAGGGAGAAATGGGATCTAACCTCGTATAATTGCTCTCTGATTGACACTGCAACTGCTGGCTGTAGACAGAAAGCAAGCATAAATCAGATTTGACAATGTTTTCTACTAAAAAAACCAATGCTAATGGGATAAACAAATACATGAATTTATGAAAAATTTATAAATTTGAGAAAATCTCCTTGCTAGTTCATGGTTGAATTCTAAATTTTCACAATATAATAATAGTTAGATATTATTTGATTTCCATATGAATTCATATACATTATTTTTTTAAGGTCCTGTGCATTTGTTTATAGATGCCATCCTGTATCTGTGAAACTTACTTGACATCACCAAATACTTCACATAAATAGAAAAACGCCAGAGCATGTATGGGGTTTCTTTACCCACAATAACCATAATACCATGAAGAGCATCAGAAGCCTCTTCATCGTACCCAAAAAAATATAACCACTATTTATGTGATAAAGCTTCCCATTAGATTCTAGAAGAGTGCTGATAGTTACTTGTTGCATGAGTATATGAAATTCAATGAGAAGAAGGGCAACGAAGATAATCTGCAATTAATTTCTCTCTTGATATACTTAAAACACTATCCACTCGCCACCTCTAAATGAGAAAGAACAAAAACAAGCTGAAATATTACCATAACAAACTAAGAGAAAATATTTCTTACCGCAACTTCAGGATCTTCAATATTCAAATCTTCGCATAAGCTTTTTGCAAATTCTTCAGGGTCTTTCTCAAAATTGCTTATGTCCTACAATAACGACAAGGGTTTACTCAAATATGTGCCCAAAAAGAATTAACCAATATAAAGGTAGCGGATAGATACAATGGTAGATTCCAGAAACATGTTTTTAGTTTTTCATTTGTAAATTTGAAAAATAAACCTACCCACAAGAACTGATCTCTTATTACAGTATTATTTACTCGAACATCGAGCTGCAAAAAATATAAAATAAAATAAAATAAAATAAATCACATCAATAGGTCTGCTTGCCGTTTCTACTCTATGAAATTGAACATTCTGCAAAACTATACACATGTAAAATTTATTTAATCAGTGAGTAACCTTGAGGGGTACAATCATCTCTTTGGCTTGCATATCTTGCCCCTGATAAGATCGAAATTCAGCAAGCTGTGACTATAGAACAAAATCAGAAAGGATCAAAGAATTAGCACAACAAGTAGATTGAGATAGCAAAAGGCATAAGACCATTAAGTAATCTCGATTTTCTTAATAACACAACTTGGCAAAGTTGCAACTTGCAGGATTTAGGGAGACAACTTAAATATGAAACAAAACAAGATAAATGAATATATCTGTAGACGGTAAAAAATACCTCTATAGGCTTACGGGAAATTCGCCTACGAGGAGAGCTCGCACGCTCAGTTCTCTGGCATGGGCCTAAGTCGCGTAGACGTCAGATATGCTCGATTCCAGGTTCGCCTAACGATCGGCTCGCCAGCATGAGTTAAGATCGATCAGGATGGCGGAAGTTCGCCTTTCACCCAACTCGCCTACCCGAGTTCAGAGTCGAATCCGCCAGCAAACCCCAAGACCGTCAGTACAACTGGGCATCCGCTACCCCACGTGCTGAGATGGACCTTCCCATCTCTCTCGACCCAAAGGGAGAGAGAGCACAACCCCAGGACCGTCAAACGGCCGCTCGCAGTACGCACAGCACGAAGGCCTGGACAGGTGTCGAGTCAACCTGAGCATTCATAAATGCGACTCACCTCCGCTGTCTGAGTCAAGAGCCGGATCCGCCGGCACTCGGCAAGCTGGCTAGACCCACTTGAGTACTGTGCACCTACTTCGCCGCCTCTCCTGACCGGAAAGGAGAAAGCACCGTGTTTAAAAGCCTCTTCCGGCACACTGGAGAGGAGGTCGCAAAACTTAGAAAAAAAAAGAGTTGAGACCAAGCTCTCTGCAAAGACTTTCTTTGCATTGCAGCATTACTGCTTAGTTCCGAGCTCCGATCGCCGGCGAACTAAGCGGAATCGAACTCTATTGCCCCGAGTTTCTACTGCGTACTGAAGCTCTCCAGCAACCTCATTCGAACGGTCCAAGGGAAGCAGACTCGACACGAGCATCGAGCGAAGCATCCTGTAGCCACCTAAAGTCCCCACACAAAACAAAGAGGGCTTTCCCTCTGCTTCTGTTGTAAACATTTGATTCGTTAGTTTGTAATAAGCCTTCTTATTAATACAAACAAACACTCCCTGTTTTCGGAAAATCAAATTTTCACCCTACAGAAGATGGCAACCAGAGTAGGAGAAGCTGTTTCGTCGAGTGAAATGGTGGTGGCTCAGTTTGATGAGGTTGCTGTCGGGACGACAGTGGAGTCCCTAGAAATCGAGTTCGACCAGGCCAAGTACGAAGAGTACTTGTCCTCCTCCTCCTCTGGTGGCGATGCGTCCCGCAAACACCACAGAGCTGTGCGCCGAGGCCGACCTCAGACGGTCAAAGCCTCTGCACCTGAGGGTTCCACCCGAATCTCAACGGAGGAGCCCACTCCCTCGCAATCGATCAAGGCCAAGCCAGAGATCGAGGCCATCGCTTCATCCTCGCGATCACCGATTATTTCTCTAAATGGGCAGAAGCCATCCCCTTAAGAGAAGTCAAGACTAGCGACGTGATCAAATTCATCAAGCACCATGTCATCTACCGATACGGCGTACCCCGGCGTATCATTCATGACAATGGCACGCAATTCGTTAGCCATGCCTTCACCAGGTTCTGCGACAAGTTCCGAATACAGAACCTCTCTTCCACGGCCTACAACCCTTCAGCGAACGGTTTGGCCGAAGCTTTCAACAAAACGATCATCAAGATCCTGACCAAGCTGACTTCCACTAGCAAGCGCGACTGGAACGAAAAGTTAGGTGAGAGCCTATGGGCGTATCGCACGACGGTTCGCACACCGACTGGCACCACGCCTCTCGTTGGTATACGGCTGTGAAGCTGTATTACCATTAGAGATTCAGATTCCATCCCTCCGCATCGCCCTAGCAACAGGGATGACGACTGAGGAGAATCACCAACTTCGACTCGCAGAGCTCGAAGCATTGGACGACAAGCGACTGGAAGCTCAGCAGCACATTGAGTTTTACCAAGCTCGGATGGCCAAGAGCTTCGACAAGAAAGGCAAGCGCCGAGCCTTCAAAGAAGGAGAACTCGTGCTATCCGTCCGTAGACCAATGATCCTCACTTCCAAGAAGAAGGGGAAATTCCAGTCCAAATGGGAAGGACCGTTCGTGATAGAGACAGTCTACTCGAACGGCGCCTATCGCCTCGTCAAACCGAATGGCGATAAGATCATGATGCCCATCAACGGCAAGTATCTGAAGAAGTACTACCCCTAGTTCTCCTTCACCAACTCCCACGGGTGCAAGAGTCTAAACTGGCCCTCACGCCCTCCAACTGGTACACGAGGCTAAACTGTTCCTACTTTACCCGCTCTGGCGAAAGCCTCTGTTGGAATTCAATTCGCCTATCTTTTCCAATAAGATGGCAGATCCACTCAAGTCGTTCACATCACGACAAACACACTCAATTCGCCTATCTTCTCCAATGAGATGGCGGATCCACTAACATTAAACCTCTGACAAAATCAACTTACCAATCCTCTTCTAAAGGATGGTGGGTCCTCAAAGTCGTTCCAATCACGACATTCCCTGTCAAGTTAACATTAAACCTCTGACAAAATCCGCTTACCACTCCTATTCTGAGGAATGGTAGCCCCCCCCACGGTCGCTCCAATCGCGACAAGATCCCATCAAGTTAATGATCACCTCTGATGATTGGCGCAGTTATTCTTACGAATAGCATAGCCTAAGTAATGGCCTACCATGCAACATGCCATTACTTCTGTCAATAGTCACACTCCTACGTCCCTGAACTATTTGACCTATTCCAGATGTCCTAACATTGCTTTGGGATAACTGACGGGTGGAGTCTACCAAGCGATGACTCCTACTACAATCAATTGTCACATTCCCAAATGACGACAGTTGTCGGAGGCGGTTCGACAGGCAACCTGTCTGTCGGTTTCCCAGACAACTCGCTGAAAGGCGAGTCGAAGTTGAGTTCTTCAGTTGGCCACAGAAGCAAACGTTTGTTCCTTGCTGCAAGCCAAGTGTTGCTCTCTTGACCCCATTGGAGCTACAACGCGAAGATCGGAATCAATCCGATCCCACGCCGTGAGCAACAGAGGGCAGAGCAAGAGCCCAAAACGACTAAATCCATAGTCTAAGGCTCACCGAGTTCAACTACGCCAAACAGCACAGATAAAGAGAAAGACAGAGAAAGGAAATCGTGCATACGAAGTAAGATAAGCAAAAGAGCCACAACAGGCAAAATTTACATAGGCTTTCAGTTTAGTTGTGATGCCTGAGGCACCAATTAAGTTGACAAAGCAAACAAAAAAAAAAAAGAGAAAGGGAAGACCTAGGCAACGCGAGCGCTACAGAAATTTTAGTAGGCTAAAAGAGCCAATCTTGGCCTTGATCGCCGCACGCTCCGCCGCACGTCGGATCCTCGCCTCCTCTTTCCCCCTCTGCTGCTGCTTGGCCAAGTTCGCCTTGCTGGCCTCTTCCTCCTGGTGAAGAAGCTGAAGTGCCTTCTCCACCTCCCTGGCGGTCTCGCCAAGTCTCCTAGCTTTGTGCTCGCGCTCAAGCAGCTTCGCCTCGCCTCGGAGAGAACCAGCCTCCTCAAAGAAGGCTCTGTCCAGATAGGCGTCCATCCGGTCCAAGACAGCCCGGTGCTGCTTCCGCAGACGTCGAAGCTCAGCCTCCTTCGCCTGGATCCGCTTCGCTCGCTCTTCGTATTCGAGCAGAAAGCACAGAGAGGGGGGCGGGGACATGTCAGAGGAGTCCTCGTAAAACAGCTCCTCGAGGCGGTACATCCACCCCTCCACTCGCTCAAGCTCCCGCTCACATCGCCGCGTGAGCGAGGCGTCGCCAGCGCGACGGACCGCCTCCAAAGCCGCTTCCACGAGAGGAAGCGCATCATAGTATCGGTCGTCGCCCACGCTGATTGAGAGGGTGATCCCGTGCACCAAACCCATCAGGTGCTGGAGCGGCACGAAAGCGGGGTGAGCCACTGGGTCCGGAACATTAGGGCCTTGCATCGGGCTCGCAGGGGCAGCAGCTGGAGCGCCAACGTACTCTGCTGGAGAGAGGCGATCGCGGATATATATTACAAGAAATCCAACGGCTGAGATTCAGCACCCTGAGCGATCGAGCGGTCTGAACGCCCTGCGGCGCTTCGAACTCAGCGCCATTAAGGCTACTCTCGAAACCCCAAACCGACATATCGGACTGGGCACGAGAGGCGAAGCGATCGGTCGCTTCACCATAAATGAGCATTGATGCACCTGCAGAGTCCTGGCTGGCAAGCACTCGGGCACACCGACCGACACGCGGCACGAGCTTCGCCCGCAGTTGGATCTCCGACTGTTGTACAAACTCGCCACCTACCGAGTTTCGCCTAGGCACGAGCTTCGCCCGCAGTTGGATCTCCGACTGTTGTACAAACTCGCCACCTACCGAGTTTCGCCTACAGTTCAAACTCGCCAGGCAAATCGAGTCGGGTTTCCAACACAAGCCCACCATCATACGGGTTTCGCCCGCAGCATGAACTCGCCAACAGTCGAGTTTAGCTTCCAAGCGAAACTCGCCGCGATCAAGTTTCGCTTGGAAACAAACTCGTCAATCAGCTGAGTTTCACCAGCAATTCGAATTCATCAAGAACCGAGTTTCAGCGTGCGCAAACCTCATTGAGACTTTAAGACAGTACATTTGAACAAAGTTATGGTTTTTGCAATTGCGAAAGTCATAATGTTACGTTCAAAGAAACAAAACATGCACTCAGTGTTTTAAGACAATACATTTGAACAAAGTTATGACTTCATAAGCAAACAAGTCATAAGCAAAATGTCTTAACACAAATCATAAAACAAAGGTCTCAGTCGAATACGTTAAAAGTGGAGATCTTTTCTTTGACTGCCTCCACCCGGCTCGCGTAGTCTTCCCGAGCTTTACCTTCAGTAGTCTTCCGAACTCGGTCTTCGCGGCTCGACCTGGCGGCAGCATCCGCCTGGCGCAAGGCTTGCAGGCGTTGAGTTTCCACCTCAGCAT